AGTAATTTTGAAAAGTTATTTTATTTTTTAAAGAAGGCAAACAACGATAATTCCTTAACAGTTTTCGTCTTTTTTTACAGCATAGTTTTATCCCTCTAGACAGCCATTTAACCCTTTTATTTAAAGTTTTTTTTATTATTTTATAAGGAAAGCAAAGGTCATATAATAATTTAAATTGTTCAATAAAGTAATTATAAGCCATATTTGGGTTATTTGTCTGATACATGTCTGTGAATTTCAAATTTTGAATATGTTTTTTGAATTTATTGATATTCTCAATAGAATAATCACGCTGTTTAATTTTCCATGAGGTTATCGGATAATATTTTTTTACTGGAACTTTCAGAAGCTGGGCGGTATGATCTGACAAGCCTAAATCGAGGACCTCACCTCTGCAGCCTCGTTTCACGTTGTGTCCAAAATTATCTAAACAAGTTTTGCTCATTAATCTAGTTATTTGATTTATTTCCAAACTAAGACCGAAACTGTGTAAAAAATTTTCAAATTCATACGACATTTTATTGCATTTTAATCTATCAATATTAAAATCACCACACAAAATGATTTTCCTGCTCATATAGGTACATAGATTTTGTAACAAATTATACATCTTTTCATAGAATATATCTAGGTTAGTCATTTTAGGAATTCTATATATACAAACAACAATAAGATTATGTGCTAGTAACTCGATACCACAAAGTTCGACTACACCGGATACTGATAAGCTGGAAACATTTAATAATTATTTCCACTGAAGTCCGTTTTTTATTAATATACATGCACCTCCGCGGTTCTGGTTTTGCCTAGAGTAGCAAGCTGCAAGTGTGTAATTGGGAATATATAGCATATTTTCATGTCCTGACAATATAAAGTGCTCTGTTATACAAATTATTTCAATAGGTTTTCCATCTTGATACAATTGTTCAATGTGAGTGATAAGCAAGTTAGACTTATTAATTAATCCCGCGATGTTTTGATGGAATACGTTTATGTTGTTATTATGTTCGATGTCTCGCTCGCTGGATTGAATGGTTATATACAGACGTGTCCGTGTGTGAGAGTTGCTTTTGTAGTGTAGTCGGATCATATTTTATTTGATGCTAGTATGACCGTACCGTATCTTCCTATTTTGTTTTAAGCTAAGCAAATGACATACAATGTGTTAATTTTATCAAACGAATGAAATCAGTGGTTTTTATTATAAAAATACATAATATTTATATTGTTACGTGTCGGGATGGGGTTCGAAATTATATGCCAGTTCACGCTTGACAGTGCTTTATTCACCACACAATTCACAAAATGCCATAAACACTGCACGCGGAGCGGACATTCGCTCCGTGCTTCTGCTTAACGCAGCGCAGACTCTAAAAGTGCATTCACACTACGCATATACCACAGAAAACTGTCAGGTTTATTTTTTATTTAAATGACACAAAACCAGAGATATTAGAACCATATACAATTTTCTATAAAAAAATATGTTGGTGTTCTCCAAAATTAATTTTTAAAAGTTATTAGATATTTTTGTAACATGGGTAGGATGGGTGTCATAAAGTGGGAGAAATCAAATTCTTGCAGACCAGTTCACAACATAATATCATCAGATTTTCCGAAATATAACCCACAACCTTGGAAATTCATGGTGAGTAAGCTTTCCTACTCACATTTACAGAAATTTTAGGGGAGGGTATGGACACATCAGGGCCTCCAGCTAATTTTGGCGCCTACGCCACTGCATAGACGTGCTTACTTCCCCATACAGATTCTCTATTTATGTACCATAACTTAATTGAATCCCCATTTCCCTTGGTCACGTCATAATAACGTAAGAACAATTTTACCTATTCATCAGTCTTTTTTTAATTTTCTAGTATTTTGTAAAAGACTAACGACTCACGAAAAATCAAGGAAGATGGGCAGAAAATGTAAAAAAACTTACAACTTTATCAGATCTTAGAGCATCAGATAGATGGCGGTCCGGTTTTAGGGTATTTTTTAAATTTTTGTCGGGTAGGACAACGTTTGTCGGGTCTGTTAACTAAAAATAATAAACATAATCACAGTAAGTACTATCGGAAAGGAATAATAGGTACTTAACCATTTTATGATCAATATCGAATGAGTTAAAAACAATAGGTAGACGAGTTTAACACATAGCATGATCAAAAATTGCATTTTTATTTTCATCTAGGAAGGCAAATCCCGCATGGAATGGTTGCTATCGTACGAGTATCAACGAATGTGGCTTGAGGAAAGGGAGGCCTGGAAAAAAAGGATGTATCCGGAAAATACCACCGTTAATGTGGATATTGTTAAAAGCTACGTTCTAACGTTCAAAACTAATCACCAAGCTCATAAACCAGAAAAAAAGAAACCATTTAAAATTAAAAAGTAAGTTCTATTTGGAATTTATATCATAGGATTACTTTTTAAATTTAAAAATGAGTGGGTAAAATAGGATTGTTTTTAGCGCAGAGACAATAATAAACAAATACTAGGCGAAAATCGATAAATAAGCCTTTTCTCAGAATGATCTTAGCTTTGTCGATCTATGTGCTGCCGAATACTACAGAAACTCTATAGTATTTGGTGTTGCTAGCTGCTAGTACCGCCATTGATTGAACTACGAGAAAGAAGGAGCCTTTGTCAAATATTAGAAAAAAACTACATTCTTTCGTTTAGGGCCGATCGTCGGAACGGCAGCGACGCGGCGAGCATTACCAGTGTGAAAAAAAATAAACTATCTGCAAACTAATAAGCCCAGTACCGCTTGTAAAGGTCGCAATCGAGCGACACCACGCGTGGCCGCGATTCTTCGAGCTTCAAAATCAATACTGGTATTCCATGAATGTAGATTATAATTTAGGACTGAAAGTGCTTGCCGCATCACTGCCATTTCGATGTGAATCGACCCTTAAGCTTTTGTATAGTAGGTATAGTGACAAAATAGATACCTACTAATTTATATAATCTAGTAGCGTACCAAAAATATATGTCAATAGTCTAGTGTCGGTTTCCATTTCCAGGGCTCAGCTTGTTGCTTACTTTAGTTTCAGTAGCTTTTTCCACCACCCCACGCAGGCGTAGGTCATCATCCGCCTTACGTGTATGGCGGTGTATACAGGACAGGACGATTTGTGGATTTAATTTCGTCGGAGCTAGCTAGTTTCCAGGGCCCCTCGGGGTAGGGTCGGAGTAGACGACGAGGTTATCACAAATGTCGATCATATAAGCTATGTTGGCCACTTTTTGAAGTGATAACTCCTTATGGGAGGGTAAACCGCTTCGTCACGTTGCGTTGCCTTGCGGCACCAGTCTGTCTGGCTTCCCTTCCTCTCACGCATACGGCAGCTGTAGGCAGGCTCCTCCTCTCTTTCTCTTACCCGCAGAGCCGCTTAGATTACTTTAAGTTATCATTTCTGTCGTGCGTCCCGAGTCCCGTGACTTCGTCCTTGTAGTTTTAGGAGAATTCCACAGAAACCTGACATTTTGCTGTGATAAAAAGTATTCCGTCTTGCAAAAACGACAGAACGGATTTGGTTGATTTTGGCACACATATAGTTTAATACCTGGATTGAGAGTGAGACATATACTTTTATCCCGAAAAAAAATTGGTTCCTTGGGTATCCTCAAAAAAATTCAACGACCGCGAGTAAGTAGCTAGTATATTAAACCAAATGTTTTTTTAGATTTGAAGGAGTGGGAAGTAAGACTGAAAACAAACGACCCCTACATGATAAAGCAATGAGTTTCGAAAAAAGTAAAAAAAATCAAAACTCTGCAATTATATCCAGGGAGCCTAAGGAAAAAGAGAAAGTCTAAATGGCCTAATAAAGCATGGTTTTTAAATTCGCATTTTATACATTGACTTGTATTGATTTTTATTTTTATTATTACTACATTAATGTTCACCAATTTAATTGATTAAATAAACTTTCATCAATGTTAAAATTGTTGTACTTACGTTTTATTAATATAACTTGTGGGCAGAGAGAAGAGAAAAGCAAAGATAAAACAGGTATGTGAATATTCAATTCCAAATCCATAGATTATTGCTAACAATGCATTCATAATTGAGCGTAGAGTCAGAAATAAGGTCTACATTCTTCCGCATATAACAATAAGTCGTAAAATTTTACGAGCTTGCATTTCGAACTTTCATAACTCTGACGCATACATTATAATGAAGATCTTATACAGTGTGCATTAAAGGTGACTTCCAATGTTTAAATAATGCCTTTTTTTGTTTTTGACTACGCGATCATTTTACGGAGTTCCGTGGATCGTCCAATGTATCTTTCTGACAGGTTTGGACCACGAATTTGTTCATGTTGTTGTATTTAGGGTAGTTAATATCGTTGTTATCAGCATTTAACAAATTACCAACAAAAGATGTCGGAGATGTACACATTATAGAAAATAGCCCCAGGATTTGAGGAACCCCTGAAGGCAAGATTATAGAGTCTGAGTATTAAATCCTCCCAGAACAATAGCCTGAGATCGATTAAAAAGATAAGATTGAATCCGGGGCACCAAGAATGTAACATTTTTCCGGGATAAAAGGTAACCTATTACTCAATCCAGGTCACAAAATATTCGTAGCAAATTTCATCCAAATCCGTTCAGTAGTTATCATGATTGAGTAACAAACATACATAGTTTCACATTTATAATATTAGTAGGACTAGCGGCCGCCCGAGGCCCGTCCGCGTTAAATTTGGTTTTGGAAAATCCTTCAGGAACCTAATATTTTTCGGCATAATAAGTAGTCTCAATACAGGTCCTAAACTATATGCATACCAAATTTCATCCAAATCCGTTCAGTAGTTTTTGCGTGATTGAGTAACAAGCATACAAACACACAATCATTGCACAAAACTTACCATCACATTACAAATGGGTTGGTAAAACTAAGGTTATATTTCAAGGTGTATATTTTTAATGACACACAGGAGAACTGTAATCTATTTGAACATTTATTATACAAATTATAGGGACTATTTATGCATACTCAATTATAATTTTAGGATCCCAAACAGCAGAATTTAAGTGTATTTGGCTTTTATTAAATGTTAGATTATATTATGATCAATTATTAAGTTTTATTATACAATATAGGGAAGTATATACGACCGTATCATCGACTTGGACTCAGTTTTATGCAAGAAATTTGCATGTAGCATACACAAGTGCATGAAAATTAAATTTACTTAAACAAATCAGTCAATATAATAATAACTACTAAATAAGTTTATTATGTATCATCACCAGAGTAATTCAGGCAGTACAATAAGGCAGTCCTTATTTTGTACATACAATTATAAAATTCCCAATGCTAAAATACATTCACACACCGTGCGCAGGTTTTGACAAATATCATTAAGGCTATTAATATTAATAAGTGCATATGCACTCCGCTGTTATTTGCTTGTTATAAATCATATTTTTTAATAAACTGCAGCATGGGAGAGGTATTTTAGTAAAATGATATTGCATCGTTACAAAATATTAGTTATCAATTTTGTATTTCTAATACCTGATATATAATTAATTTAGAATGGAATGAGCAACGAATTAGAAATAATATGGAATACGCACTGCGCTAAAAAGTGGTTCCACGCTAACTGCGATCTAGTGGGCGGTGAAAAAAAACTGCAATCAACAAGCCGATCATGCGATTGGTTGGGATTTCCGTTTAACATTTTCGTACCCAAAGAATGGACAGCCGAATTAATTTGCTGATGTTTTATCTGTCAAAGTTATTGTTTATGCTGTGTGCGTGTCGCGTTAGTATTGAAGTTTAGTTGTGTGAGTTTAGAACCATGTTTTAGCGGCCTTTGCTGGAGAGTTATGCTTCCATATCATTTCTAATTCGTTGGGAATGAACGATAATTCTATGTTACGTCTCACGTTTAAAATACAAAATGTTAAATATATGTATGTAATTAATGTAGAGCTTACCCAATTAATATAATTCAATACAATCTTTCGTCCAGCATGGGACACATCGTAATGTACGCAAAAATGTGTAGTTTCAATCTATTAATTTTTAAAATTCTGGTATATCTTCAACATTCTGCAATTCAAATATTACATAACTATAACATTGATTGGGAGCTATTTTATGCTATACAATAAACAGAGTGTTTTGTTTTTATTACATAACTTGCCAATTAACGAATGTAAGCAAATAACATTTAACCAAACTGGAAGCTAAATGCTGTTCCAGGGTAACCACCGTCTGATTGGAATCCAAAGTTTTGCCCTCCGCGGTTGAAGAATGTCTGGAACACTACGTTAGGATCGATATCTGAAAAGAATGTATTAACGCGTTACAGAAATTTGTTATTATGCATAAACGATCAAGTAGATATATGATCAATGAATAAAAGCAACATTAGAATATTATCATGAAATTAATGGTCAATTTATACTAGCGCAGAGTCGAAGCACATAGAAGCAACTTCAGAAACAGAATCATAGCAAAGTCACCCTTATGTCCACAACATAATGCACATATTACTTACGATTTGATAATTAACGGACTTTTATCTCAGAAGGAATACGTACGGTCAACCAATTTGATTCCTGACCCACCATAACCTTAATTTCTTAGAACCATTACAAAACATTAAGATAGAAATTCGCTTGAATGTATGTATCCCTGGAAACAAAGTTGTTATTTCCAGAAAAATTCTCGACCATAGATTTAGGATTTTTCTTTTATTTTACCAAAGTTTTTCTTAGGGTCAAGAAATCTTAGAATTTTATCTAAAAAATGATCTATTAAATTGAAAACAAAGATCAAATTTCAAAGATCTTTGATACACATTAATAGTTTCCTTGTAATTAGAAAGTCCTAAGTAAAATCACGCATTCTCTATAGAAGAAAACTTGTCTGTTTGACATTTTAAAGCGAATTATCGGGCAAGTGGGTCAGGAATCAGTTGTTCGATCGTACATTACGTTGCGAAGATAATGGTGAATTTGCTATGTTACTGTTGCTTAAATTCGCTTCGACTCTGCGCTAGTATGAATTGACCTTTATAGTCAACGATATTAAATACCACGTGCGCACAAATTGTGTCCCAATCAAGAAGTGCTTGAACACCACTCAAGCACTTCTTGGTTAAGTCACGCGCGGACCGTTGAAAAGTCGAGTTGGCGCAGAGCTCCGTGAAAAAATGCGAAAAAAGTATTTATAGTATGTAAAGTGTCGTTTTTTCGACAGGTATCTAATCAATATATGTTAATTTAACGCATTTTAAGCTTATTTTGTTCTAATACTTATTACAAATTGATTTTATAAGAAAATATTCGTGATATTCGAATGCATGGTCGGTAATATAGCCGTCTCTTTTCCTCGCAGTAATACCTGCTATATTGCTTAAAGCGCATTCAGAATTGCTCGTCGACTCAAAGAAATAATGTCTATACTTTTCCGCATACAGAAATAAGTCGTAATTATTTTACGAGCTTGCATATCGAACTGTCATAACTCTGACGTATGTGTTTTAAATAAAAAATTATATAGTATGCATTACATTACATACAAGGTGACTTTCAATGTCTAAATAATGCCTTATATTGTTTTTGACTAGGCAATCACCTTACAGAGTTCCGTGGATCGTCTAATCTACCTATTGGACAAGTTTCGGACACGAGTTTGTACGTGTTGGTGTATCTAGGGTGTTTAATATCGTTGGCTTTAGTGCATCTCCACGTCACGACATCGTCAACGTGGAACGGTGGCGGTAACAATGAACGATGCGTTGTCCTAACGTTCACATTTACAACCAGGTTCGCGAATGAAGCTTATTTAGCTTCAGCTAATAAATTTGACTATAGTTAAAATATGTACTATAGAAAAAACTTGTCAAAATTTAACGCTACCTATGCAGACGAGCGACCAAGCTCTTGTGTCGCGTGCCTGAAATAGGAACTAATTTTAGGAAGGTATAAATAAGCCTTTTATTTATAGAGGAAAGTGTAAATAAGTCTTTTATATTTTCTTATTACTATTTTCGAGGTATTGTAAATTATAGCGTTCCCTTTAGTGAGGAGATTTTACATACTAAGTAATCCTCATTTCACAACTTATTCACCAGCAGCGCCCTTCTGTCAATGTCACAAAAGTAAAATTTTACTATAACTTCGCTTCGAATTCGTAAACTGTTGGATGTTTTGTGGCTAATTAGTTGCTCGACAAAAACGCAATTAAGAGTATTCTACAATCATCCCTAACCTCAGATACATCCCCTCTACTCACTTAAAAATAGTAGACGGTTCGATTTTGCACGCAGATGTTTAAAACTGCTGGATATTTTGTTGCTAATTAGTTGCTTAAGGACAACATTATTTGTATTATTCCCCCAGCATCACCTTATTGCCACATCAACCCCCGCACTACCCTCTAAATACGATAATGTGAAAAAGAGGTCATGAGAGAATATAAACTACGGCGTATTTTGTTGCTAATTAGTTGCTGCAAAATAGCGTTGCTTATAGTATTTAATTATCAACCCTTAACTCCAGATCAGCACTGCAACCACCCCAGAATAGGACGCGATATCGGAAAATTCTCGTAGGTGGAAAAAAGACGCGGGATATTTAGTTTCTCGCCAAAAACGCAGATAACAGTATACTACAATCATCCCCTAACCTCAGATCCAACCCCTCTACTCACTTGTTGGAATTCACACGCAGATTTTTAAAACTGCTGGATGTTTTGTTGCTAATTAGTTAAATTAAGATTATTTGTTAATTTTACATGCAAAAACATTTTCCTCACGCTAAGCAGCCGTGATTAAAAATACTCTAGCAGTTATTTTAGGCTTAATTAAAACAAAAATGAAAAGGTAACAGTTTTCATTTCGGTAATTTGAGGTTAAGATTTCAAACGTAGAAAAGAAATCTGTCAAATTCAACTTTTCCTTCGAAAGTTTTATGAATTAGAGTAGGCTTGGAGAATTTAATAGTCAAACTATTTTCGGACGATTGAATTTTCGAAATAAAAACGGAACTAGAGTAAGGAACGTGCGAAATTTCGATCGAAATTTCATTTTTCGTTGAAATAGAGTAGGCATCCTGAGGTAGAGATTATTGTAGAATATTTTTAAATGTAAACTTACCGAGCAACTAATTAGCAACAAGATATTCTGCAGTTATATACATCTACGAGCGTATTCTGACCGTTTTTTTATTGTAAAGAGAAAATGACTGGCCGATCTGAGGTGAAGAGACGATTGTAGAAAAATATCCCGCATTTTTTGTACCCATAAGCTGGGATGATTTGTAGTTAAGGGTTGATAATGAAATATTATAAGCAACGCTATTTTTCAGCAACTAATTAGCAACAAAACATCCAGCAGTTTTAAATATCTGCGTGCGAATTCCAACCATCTACTGTTTCTAAGTGAGTAGAGGGGTTGGATCTGAGGTTAGGGGATGATTGTAGTATACTGTTATCTGCGTTTTTGGCGAGCAACTAATAAGCAACTAAATAAGCCGCGTCTATTTTTTTCGATATCGTCCTATTCTGGGATGGTTGCAGGGATGATCTGGTGTTAAGGGTTGATAATTATTTTTTTAAACAACGCTATTTTGCAGCAACTAATTAGCAACAAAATACGCCGTAGTTTATATTCTCTAATGAGCACTTTATAATTTTATCGTATTTCGGGGGTAGTGTGGGTGCTGGTGCGGCAATTAGGGGATGATGGGGGTATAATACAAATAATGCTGTCCTACAGCAACTAAATATGCCGTTTGCAGAACTTCGATATCTTTACGAAAACCGAAGATACAGTATTGTCTGCTAGGTTAAGACTTAATCTAGCAGATCGCTTGCATCGTTTACAGGTATTGAGCAACTAAATCGGGAATAGTGTAACTATTTAGCAACTAATTAGCAACTAAATACCCAGTAGGTTAGATGTGCGGGTTGTGACCATGGTCTGCTAGCTTAATATACGTGCAACTCACGATATGTGCGATGTGTAGAATCTCAAATATCCATAAATAAAATTCGAAACAGGGAAGTCAAATAATGATTAGTACGAAATTAAATAATACAATAGTACTCAGAGAGAGTTAAAATAGGCATGATACTGTTTTAAAATATGTTTAAAATAGTATATTCGACATTAAAATCAAACATAATTTTAAAATAGGCAACTGAATGAAAAAATAAAGATGTCACCCAAGTCTTTAAAATGCTAGTACAAATGTAGGTATAACTTGGAATAGAATCTCATCTTGAAGCGACGACGGATAATACAGACACGCTTAGAGCGATTTTCTTTTTTAACAAAATATTTTTAGAAGCACACGAGTCAGCAGTCTCTGATCCCCAAATTTTCTATGGATTCAAATGCCTTTGGTTAGCTTATTTTTGTTTTTAGTGTGAATGTACAAGGAAGGATCGGTCATAATATCATCATACTTGTACAAAACGTGTTTTTTTTGTGGTTTTGGTATTATAGCTTTACTGTTTTATCAGGCTATTGTTAATGATGTTAGGGGCCTGATTACGTGTTCGCCTATGTCGTTTCGACGGACCTGGCATCCCGGAGCCGTCGTCGTCGAGGTCGTAGCGCACTATTCTTGGGGTCTTTGAGCACGTTGACCAATTCAAAGTGTTTTTTTGTTTATTTTGCAAGTGTTTTATTAGGCTGTGAGGTCGCATACTTATTCAAAGAGCGTTTTATTAGGCTATTGTTAATGATGTCAGAGGTCTAATTACGTATTCGCCTGTGTCGTTCCGACGGACCTGGCATCCCGGAGCCATCGTTTTACAGGTCGTGGTCTTGGTCGTAGCGCGCGCGTTTCTTCGGGTCTTCCGAGTACGATGACCCATTCAAAAAGTGTTTTTAGGCTATTCTTGATGATGTTAGGGGTCTAATTATTCGTCTGTGACATTTCGACGGACCCGGCAACCCGGAGCCGTTGTCGTCGAGGTCGTGGCTGTGGTCATAACGCTATTGGACACGCTAAACCATCCAAAGATTTTTTTTGTGGTTTTGGAAGGGTCTTATTAGGCTATTGTTGATGATGTTAGGGGTCTAATTACGTGTTCGCCTATGACGTTTCGACGGACCTGGCATCCCGGAGCCGTCGTCGTCGAGATCGTGTCCGTGGTCGTAGCGCGCTCGTTTCTTCGGGTCGCTGAGCACGCCGTAAGCCTCGCCGACTTCCTTGAAGCGGCGCTCTTGTTCGCGGCGCTCGTTGTCCGTAGCGCCCGCGTGGCGATCCGGGTGGTGGACTAAGGCACGTTTCCTGAAAACAACATGGTAAAATTATGGGCTATTCATAAGAAACCCTTCAAATGATCACTAAAATGCGCAAAGTAAAGATTATGCTTTGAAATAGTTGTTTATTACTACCCAAAAAAAATCAAATTAGCTTTGTAAGTAGGTACAAATAAATATTCCCAAAACTTAATTTATTTGATATGATTGAAAATATTTATAGAATAAGTGTATTTTTTTTATTGGTTGAATTTATTGGTTGATAAATATATTTAACAAACCTACTTCAGGCGTCGAACAACGGCGATAGATCGTTTCGCCAAATTTGTTATCCGACCTTGACGTTCTGTTACACCTGACCATTCCAATCTCTAGGGTTCCGTTCATCAACAACTTTCGATTTCTCACTACGACTCTAGTGTGGGTGCTCTTGGTACTTTAGTTGGTAAATATACTAATATCCGGAACTACTGATTCAAATTTAAAAATCCTTTTAAGTTGGATAGTTCATTTAACAAGAAAGGCTATACATATACTTAGCGCCATGCAACAATTGAATTATTTTAATAATACTAAGCACTATCCAGATACTCTTAAAGTTATAGAATATATTTTAGTTAGTAAGTTTTTTAGCAAATTAGCAATGGAGTTGGTGCCATTTAACTCAAACAGTGATCTGCAATTTAGATCTACCTATTATGTTTGTTGGGATGGCACTAACTGTTAACTTTATTTATAGACTTTACGTTTAGGTAAAGGATAAGAATTATTGTTTTTATGTGGTCTGATTTTATTTTATTTAGAAAAGGATTTTTTACCTGTAAGCTTTTTTGATGTCGTCTTCTGAAGCAGATTTATCTACACCAAGGATTTTGTAATAGTCCTTTCGCTTAGACCTCTTTAATGCTATTTTTGCTTCATGCAGCAATTGTTTGTTCTCCTTGCTTTTGTCAATTTTGTACAGTCTTTCGTAGTCTTTGACTGCCTCTTCATGCTCACCAAGGTCAGTGTAACACTTGGCACGTCTCAGGAGTGCTTTGACATAATTTTCGTCCAATTCCAGGGCAGCAGTGCAGGCCTCAGCTGCTTCCTTGATTTGATTCAGCTTAGCACAAACGGTAGCTTTGTTAAAATAGAGTTTAGCATTTACAGTTTTGTTCTTCTTATCTACTGTGAGTGCTTCGTTGTACAAAGTGAGAGCTTGCTGCCATCTACCCATTTTGAATGCCTCATTACCTATAGTACATTGGAAATGTAGATTCTGCATAAAACAACTAATAATTTAAAAGAACAATAAAGAAAAACATTAATACCTTCTTCTTTCTTTTGTTTCAGAAGTTTAGCCTTTTTGTATGTTTCCATTGCTTTTTTGTGGTCTGGGGCAAGCCGTAACACTTGTTGGAAATGTTTGAAAGCTTGTTCGTCTTTGTCCTAAAAAATTATATATAAATGTCAACATTTTTATGATTAAGACAGTTAAATAACAAGTTTTAATAGATAGTTATCAGTACATTGTAATACAAACCTCAAAATAAAGGCATAGGCCGCGCACATAAATGGCCTCAGCATCTAGACTATCAAATCGTAAAGAATCATTTGCGATTTCCTGTGCTTCCTGGCAACGTCCTAATAACGCCAGACATTCCGCTTTTTTTAGCTTCGCCCTAAAACACAAATATAAAACATAATATAGAGCCATTACTTAGCTACTTTAATAAAAATCAGAACAATAGACTGTATGCATATTCACAACTGGATTGGAATTTAAGTTATATGTGAAATATACTATTTAGATTTGGTCCTTGTCAAACCATTGTTCAGAGCAAAAATATAACTTCATGACACTGCAGTTAACATTTAATAATATTGTGACTGATGCACATAGTATATTTTTTTATAACAACCTCAGTATACCGTTATCATGCTAAAGCCTGTTTTCCACCGCCAAACAAAAATGAACTAGGGATGTCTAGCGGAGCTGTGTTTCTGTATATAAAATAGGATTGCTTTTCCACCAAGGAAGAGTTCCGCACTAACTAACTTAACTCGTTTTGCCCTCTTGTCATTTTCGCTCGACTCTTTGTTGGTGGGAACAGATTTATGCATTTTGTATTGCTTGCTCTGCTTGCGATGGAAAACCCCTTTAAGGTTCAGACAGCAGTATTTCTATTCTAAAGGAGAATGGGCAAATCCGCCTAGATTGCGCTTGACGCATTTATGTATCAAAAATCTTCTTCTGAATTATCATTTCATATGTGTGTTTATTATGTAAATATTATGCGGATATTTAAAATAATAAATAAATGGCTATTAAACTGAGTAAATAACCAATAACCATAGATAAAAGTTGTATCACCTGGTCGATACTATCGTAGGAAAAAAAATCGATTATATTTCTTTATTTAAATATTCTTAACATAAAAAAACGAGTGTGCTTATGACTAGACAACTGAAGTGAAACTTCTTTCATTTACTAGCTGTAAGAGAAAAAGAGAAAGAAAATGCGTGCGCGCGCTCTTGCTCCTACACTGTGATACAGACAATAGGCTTGCACTGTGCTTAGATATACGGAACGTATTTGGCTATGAGAGGAAGAGAGAAAGAAAATGTGCACGCGCACTGCTTTCTCATGCTTACATCCCCCACTCAACTCCCGTTCGCCTCGCCCGATCACACTTTTCTTAACGCTTACGTTCGCTAGCTTACTCCCCAAGTCAAGAGTGCGTAAAGAAGTTTAACTTCAAAAAGAAAAAATAAAACGTTTATTATAATTGAAAGCATAGAACAATTAATAGCCTGAAACATTTTTACCAAACACCGTAAATGACTACGAAATAATGATCATTCGTTAATTCGTAGTCATTTTTTATTTTGAGGTTTTCGATGCGAGTTGTTTGATTTTTGTATGGATCGATGGATAGATTATTTTCCCCAAATCGCCTATTCAGAGGGCCTGGTTTCGAATTCCGGTGAGGCAAATGTTTATATGATGGATACGAGCATTTTTACCAATATTATATCATGATAAATAACATTAAATTCATAAAGTTATCATTTGTAAGACCTGTGTTGTGACTATCTCACTGTACCTACCAGGGATTGCTCTCTTTTATTGCATCTAAAAACTAAAAGGAACTTAATGGGCTGCGCAAAAGAGGATTTTTTGCCTGCGGACTATTTTGTTCATCAAACAGTAGATCGCATACAAAAACTTTTATATGTGTACTACATATTCACATCTTAGATTAAAAAAGGGAATATATTTTTGTTTAAATTATCAGTTATGTTATATATAATTACTTAATCATATATAAATTAACTCATGGTTTGAACATTTTAAGCATTTGCATTGAAAATAAAACATTTATTAATCGATTGTGTAGGAATCGATTCCTATATCAAATCGAAATATATACCATAGGCAAGTGAAGTAGGTAGCTGTCAACTTGTTGTCAACGTGTTTGTTGTTTGTTCCGAGTGACTAACTACTTATGTACAGTTTTCAATTTTGAATTGAATTTGTGTTTTCAGTGGTCTATTGTGGCAGAATAGTTTTAATGTTGAGTTGAGTAATCCTCCGTTAATAACTTTTTTTTGGGAAAGAGAGCATTGGACTCGTTGATTTAGTGTTAAGTTACCTTTAGTGATTCTGACAGAGATATTTGGACTCTTAGTTTATTGTAATTATTTTTGTTTACAATGGCATCTGGTGTTACACAAGAAAACGCAGGCAGTATGCAACGACGTTGTATTAACTGTTGTATATCAGTGCCACGACGACAGCCAGTACATTCTTTGGACATGCTATCCAATTCAATGCTTAATGTTTTAAGCTCATGGATCGCACCTGATTCTGTAAGTAATTATTTACTTATATTACTAAAAATATATCGTTATACAATCGCAACCGTGAGATAATGTTTTAATTTCATTCACATGTTCAAATAAATATAAATATTTTTGACTTGTTATAGATATTGAATGGGGGCATAGTGTGCAACGAATGCTTTATGCTACTACAAGCTAGTGACACCACAGAAGAAGTACCTGCACCACAATATGGCCATCAACAAGTCTGTTTTGGTTGTGGAAAATCCATATTAAGAAGTCAATCGTACAGGGTTTCACTACACTGTCCAGAAAGATGATATTCTTAGATGGACTCCAGCACATCAGGTATGGTATAAGATATTATTATCAATAATAAATTATTAAAATTGATTTCAATGCTAATTAAAACATGACTGTGACATTATTATTATTTTTGCATTGCATGATTGAAATGTTATATTAATAATAATTTATTTAAATTGATTTCAATACTAACTGAAACATGACTGACATTTTTTTTACATTGCACAATTGTCATGTAGTATATTAATGAAATTGATTATATAATAACTAACTCAATCATGACTATGGTATATAAATAATATATATAGTTTTTAAAGATTGAGTTCTGGATAATACTGCAACTACCTATAAATATTTGCACGTCGATAAAAGCGACAGGTCATGTTGGTTATATTTTTGAGATCTGTATAATTTACCATATCTTGTCAGATAAATGATTTATTATTATTATTATAAGAAATATATTTCTATTGCATAAAATAGTTGTAGATGGTTTTTCATTAAATTCAAGTTCACTTATCTTTTTTTTATAGGTGTCAAGAATTTCAAGAGTTTGTGCTGCCTGTTGGCGAGCAGCTAATAGAAGACAGAGATGAATCGGTCATCAATTGAACAAATTGATGTAGAACCAACAGAGTCTGTACCAGTGATCCCAGTACCACCACCATTTCCCGCTGGTCTATTACCTGTTCAGCCTTCAAGACCTGTTATACCTAAGATACAGTCATCAGTATATAAGCGTGCTGTAGCCACTTCATTGAGTTGTCTGTTTTCAGGATGCCGGGAACAACAATGTTTATTAGTACCCAGAGTAATAAGAGAAATGTTATTAATACATAATAAATTCTATGTTCCCACATGTTGTAGAATATGTCAACATCACTTGAATAATGGGCGTTGGAGTGATTTAACATCAAATCTGCAAGATTTTACTGGTGTACAGTTTGATGCAATTTTGAATATAATGCAGAGAGCAGTTTCCCATTGTTTCGACTTTGAAAATATTTCTGCAATGGCTCCTTTCTTATGCCATTATTGGCTGGGAATGAATGCTGAACAGTTTGATGAACTCTTGGCATGTGTACCAAGCTTATTACAGAGTGTCAAAAATCCCCGTTTAGCACTCTGTATTTACATAGTCAAGTTAAGAACTGGGGACAGCAATGAATGATTAAGTTCCCTCTTTCAAATGTCTCGTAGGACCTTGGAGAGAAAAATGAATATAGCTAGAAGTTGTTTAGTTGAAGATTTTGTGTCAAGACATTTGGGCTTTGGTCATGTAAATGTGGAGTAAGTGGCCAGCAGAAATAAAATAATCCCGGAGGGATTGTTTGGTAATCCAATCTTACCAAATGATATTAAACCCGCTATTGTTATGTGTGACGCAACTTATATATATGTCCAGATTTGTTCTTTTTTAAAAAAAGGCAATATATAAACCAGGATTAGAGCACGCTTAATGTATAAACTGCTGTGTTAATTGAACTTAGCAGAGCTTTAACTGGATATTTCAAACTCAACAGGACATGGTGGCGAGTTACAAAAGATATTTTAGGCGAAGTCACTACAGTTCCACTGGATACAGCATAACCTCAAAAATATAAAATAAAAATATCACATTAATAATGTCGATTTGGATAAATGTGTTATCAATAAATGATTATCATTATTAAAATATTTTGTCTTATTTATTTTTGATTCCTAAACCTTAAATAATATTAGATCCATTGTTGGGTTAACAGAGCATCAAAGGTGCAGCTTGAGCGTAAAGAGAATAAGTATAAATAGCACTAATATAACCGCACCTCAACAACGCCACATTTATTAAATCTGAGATGTTTGGAATAAATAGAGATAGATAGCAGCTCACCAACGCACATAGGAGTATTTGATCAAAAAAGTCGATCAAAATTATTTATTGGCTAAAATTTATTTGTTGTCATAATCATGTAATCAAGAACATTTAAAAAAAATATTTATGCTAGTTTTTCAAGTAGGAATTTGAAATGAGTGTAAACAATGTTTTGTCACCATTTATATTTCTTATAAATAATTTAAAAATATTAATTAAAACCCTTACTAAAGTAATAATTACTCTTCTTCATCTAAATCATCTTCATCCTTATCAACTTCAAAGGGCATTAACATTTCTCTACTTTCTGGTTTAAAAGGTTTTGATTTTTTAGACACTTTGGGTCTAATACTGGTCAAGTATGGGTCCGAAGTTAATAATAATCTATTTAACACATCCATGTTGCATTCAGTTCTGCTAAATTTTCTGGAATATTGTTCCCTGAATTTCCTAAAATGTTTATTACGAGCCTCTGCGGCTTCTTCAGATAGGGTCCCTATTGGTAGTATGGCATGTCTTATAACTGAAGGACCATGAATTAATATTTTATGCACTGTTGTTGTCATAGGATACCAAGAGTATAATTCTACGTACATCTTAGCAGTGTCTTGACAATAGGTGTCAAATTTTTCAATATTTATTTTATATCCACTTGATATCACTTCTAAAATGATTGCAAATCTTTCTATTAAAGTCTTATCGATACCAGTGATATTGGCTGATATTTCTATATTATTAAAAAATCTTCTACTGGTGTTGCCGTCATTAGTGTTTCCGAAATTGGCTTTAGGTACGTCAACTATTAAGCCAAGTTCATTTTTGAATGCTTCTTGGATGTTTGCCTTTCTCACTCTAATTATAGCTTTTTCGGCCTGTGTTCTCACTTGCCATTTCTTTATAGGTAGTTTGTAAGAAATGTGTAGTAATGTCTCGAAAAATCTGATGCGAGCATGTAGGACAGATAAGCCAAACTCCAAATTTTGTAGCTCTGTTGTTTCGCTTTCGATAAACTTTTCAAGTTTATTAAAATCCTTAGATGTGGCTTTGCAAATGTAGCATCTCATTGCAGAGGTTGTGTTTGTTGCCGAGTTGCATACTTTGCCATCTACCATGGTAAATAGCAAGTTATGGGTAACTGTTATTTCGTAAGACCCGAAAGTTATCTTTGTCCCCGTTAACTGTTTAATTTGTTCTTTGTGGTAATTTATCTCATCGTTTGTTACGTCTTTAGTCTCGTGTATAAATCTGATCCGCATTGGTCGACAGTAACGCGGAGAAGAAGGTGATGGATTGTTCCAAATTATTTTTTTACTGCTCTTACTTATCAACTGTAATGGCACAAGCGTATTTATGACCACGTGTTGGGGATGCCATAATATCTTTTATCACATAAGCACCATCCACGTTTCCTTTCTCACGAAGCGCCATTTGACCTGCATAAATTAAAGATTCTGCTTCATTTATGTTTCTTAAATGTGATGTCTTTCGACGCTTACTACAGTCCGTTAATTCTTTGAACTCTTTGCTTGGCCGCCCCACGTGGTATTTTTCTCTATGAATTGTATTTTTCGGTATTTCAAGAGTACCTTGTAACCAATCATGGTATTTTTTCAAAAACACACTTTCTGTTCGCTTTGCTGTCTGCCATTTAGACTTCATTTCAGACTTGAGACAAGAAAATGTATGTCTAAACTTTGCTTTTTGATCAATGGGAAATGAAGAGTCATTAATTATTTCAAACTCGAATAATTCTAAGTTTTTTCCAAGATCTGGTTCACAATATTCTCTCGCTTTTCGAAAGACATATTCTCTTGTCACGATCTTAATACCAGAAGATCCTACAATAAAAGAAATCTCAAATTAACATAAGTGACCGCAAAATAAAGTTTGTTTTGGTAAATGTCACATGCACTCTATTTACAAAATGGTAATATTTTGGCACATTTTGGCAGCTAATTTCTTTTTAAATTCTTATAATAGATATGTAACTACAAGATAATAAAAGAATTTGACCCTGGAAAAGCTCGGAAATATACCAAAAAGTCTTTGAAACATTAGGTAATGCTAAAATTTACTTATAATTTAATGTATACAACAAAAAATAGCGTAAATAATTAATTATTGATATATATTTAAAAAAAATACATAATTTTAGTTTTACATACCTTGTTCTACAACGTCCATAACTAAAACTTGCTTTATCCCAATTAAACTAAATGTAAAATTTATTTTTAACAACTTAGTTGACTCACTCTCACTGCGCATTAAATACGTACAATCAGACTTTCGTTACAAAGACGACTGACTGTGCACCGAATGTTAGTGAGAACAAAAGAGAGATAACGGTACATTGTCGTCCTACCCTTTCCGCTTTCCAAGGAGCGGAAACTACCTGCATATCGGTACTTTGCAATATTCGACTTATAATCGACTTTTTGGGTTAAATACTCCTATGTGCAACGCAACAGTTTACAAATATACGCTGCCCGTTGATAAGATTTTACGCAGCGTGTGCATTCAATTTTTGTTTCACTCCCAGTCCAAAATAGAAGACAAAAGGTCACAACCTAATTAAATACAGTTTAAAGTAGTATACCTAGTAATAATTAAGTATGGTATAAATATCGAATTTAATCGAATCTACATATGACATAACCTTAAAATGCTTACGTAATTTAATATTTTCTTTAAACCACTACTTAAGTTTCTAATGATATTTTTCCTACGCAATATACACCTGATTCCCTATTGTTGTACACTTATTCCAATAAGACGCAATGAAAAAAACTTAGCCCAACTCCCAAAGTAAAATGACCATTCTCCTTTAGTAAGTTATCTAGTTATTACTAGTCCTAATAATGAAAATGTCAAAATCTTCAAAAAAGTACTGATAGCAGGTTTGACAATTTGCAAGAATAATGCTTTTATTTCTTTGCTCCAAAAGAAATTTTTATAAAAACAATTTTGATGGAGGGACAATTCAAAAGTAATTCAGTATATTTGAAAAAATATTGATCATGCTATTATATTATATATTTATTATAATAGCATGAAATTTTATTATATATTCCCTATTGTTTTATCAGATGTTAAGGCAGAATATCGTCGTTGCGGCTTTAAGACCTCCCATGTGTAAAATTCTTCAGTGCGAGATATTCAATAAAAACTGTCTACTGAAAAAAATATAAGGAAACTAAATATAACAAAATATACAAGTGATAACTAGAGGGTATTATGATTTTTATTTTGCTCTTGTTATTTTAAATAAAAAACGTAATTGTACTAAAAAAAATAAAAATCAATTTAATGCGACACATAAGAGGTTTTGGTTGCGCGTTTTGTATCACATTAGAGAATATAAGTATGTAAAAGGGATTGAGATTCAAAACACATGACTTTTAATTATACAACAGGAAAACAGACCTCGGTAAGGAGTTCCACTCCTTAGCCGTTCGCATAATTCGCCTTAGAATTCGGAAGTAAATCGCTTCGTGCGAATGGGAGGAACTTGGACAACAAAAGGGTGAAAGCCCTCGCCGCGCCTGGTTGTCCGGTGGTGGAAAGGGGAAGGGGGAATCAAATTGTGAAGTACCTCCGCACACTCTCTGAAATGTAACCGATAAAACATCCAGCTGATACCGAGCAGATCTGCTAGTATCCAAGCAGGAGCGAACTTGGGCTCGGTAAAGGTTAAGGAGCTGCTCAGATGTAAAATATCGCCTGATCTTAGAAAGTACTCCAAGTTTATTGGCGGTTTTAGCAATGGACTCGATGTAGCGACCGAAATTGAGGCTGAATGAGATGTCCAGACCTAGAGCTCGAGATGCTCTGTAACCGGCATGGAGATATTTCGGAATGGACTCTGTTTCGCTGAGAAGAGACACACCTATGTTTTAGAGGGATTGAACCCAATCAAGTTGGCTTCACCCCAGAGGGAAACAGCTTCCAGGAGGGTTGCATTCACTCCCTCCACCATCGCCTCCCTTAAAGATTGGACGTTTGCATCAGACTTCACATCAGGTAGGTATCTCTCCGAGACTGTGCTGTCATCTGCATACCCAAAGATACAGGGAGTAAGGAGCAGATCATTGATGCCATTTCTCTAAATAGAGTTGTTCGATATTCAATTGCCTTCATTGTGCCAAATCATTTAGGGCACTCGTCAAACTCTCAAATCTTACACATAAGATATTTTAAATGCCAACTTTACTTGAGCAAGCACTTAGGATATATTGAATAAAGTAATTCAATAGAAATTGAAAAGACTTATTCACATGAGAGTTCTTGCTTTCGATGTAGCGCCAAAATTTGAAATAAACCTGTATAAAAAAGGTATTTAGACAAAAATGACACATAGGAGATCTTGAAGTCGCAACGACGATATCAAACTATACTGTTAAGTGCTGATCAGTATACTTACTTGGAGCAAGAGGGGCTGTAGTCTAGACAACGGTCCATGCAGAACACGACGCGGCGGTAGTCGGCCGCCTCCATGGCGCGCTGACCTTCCTCATGTAGCTTTCTCAGTGACTCTAGAGCCCGTCGCTCACTGGTCGCGCAATCCGCGCCCCCGAGCTCACTGGCGCGAGTTACTGCTTGCTCCCCACCAGACAAGTCACCTGACCACAAAAGTCATAACAAATCAACAGTCCATAAAAACATAAGAATGTGACACTTCAAAAGTATTGGCAGTGTGGACAATTGTATTTTAGAAAATACACCATTCTTACAATAGCAATAGGATTCATATGTTCTTTTACAATTACATGCTATATAAAATATGAGAATGTTATAATTTTTTCAAGTCATGTTAATTTGTCTACAATTTAGAAAAATAGTTTACTAAATAAAAGTTATTTAATCAAAAACTGTACCTAGAGCTATACAACATTTAGCAATTCGAATGTAGCCTTTTGTGAATGAGGGATCCAGTGCAACTGCCTTCTGAGCATCTTCCAGGGCCTTTTTGTACATGCCCAACATCATGTAGCAAGCAGATCTGTTCCCATAATAGGCAGCATTTTCTGGACACAGCTTTATTGCTTCATCATACATGGTGAGAGCACCCTTGTAATTCTTGAACTTGTATAAATGGTTTCCACTCTCTTTTTTTTCTTCAGCCAATCTAAACAGAAATATATAATAGCTTAGTATACTTACATACCATATTCTTTTAATTTAATCTAACATAAATAGTGGAGACAAAATCAGAGCCATTATAATCCATTTCAAAAAACACTTTAACAAAAGTGTAGTATTTACCAGTGATGGTATATTTATAGGGCATATTGGCAAACCTAGTTTTTATGTAGGACCATGAACCAGCCTACACACACAAGTAAAATTAGTAGGTAGGTAGTACCTTCCGCTACACTGCATGTAGGTCAAATGTCAAGGAACCTACTTATAACAAGTGTGATCCCTTGCTCAAATAATACTACAAATTATAATATTGAGATTAGGAGTAACGAAGGATTATTATGAACCAAGTAAATATTGTAGGTTGTTTTTCATTCACAATGAAACTATAATGTTTGTTACCTCTCGGGACTTTTTGGAACTAAATCGTCAATAGTGAGATCCAAATCCACTACGTCCGACCCTGCCATTTTGCTGTTTCAAATCCAGGTTCGTAATTACAAAATGTTATCGAAAATGCTCCCTTTATTTTGAAGACTATTTCACAAAAGAAAGACCAACAAAAGACAAATTAATTTCGACGAGAAATGAATGAATGAATGAATGTAAGGTAAGACGTCAATCACATATATAATTTGTGAGATTGTGAGGTGTCCGTGATGCTAGTGTACCCATGATCAATATACGGTTTTTCGTTATGCCATTAAATACTGCGTAAATAGTGCCAAATTAGTGTAAAAATAAAAAAAATAGTGCCTCTTTAATTTAAGAAATAAAGACCATTTTTACTGTGTACGCTACCATGACGTCAAGCTAGCGTACCCATGGCCGACCCCAAGAACGGCATATATTTAAGCAACAAAATTGACACACAAAAATAGTTCGCAAATAGTGCCCTGGCTTTACAAAATTTCATAATCAATACTCTTAAAGGACCAAAGATATTGAACTAAACATTCTTAGCTGGCGTCAACCTGGCGTACCCCTAATAGTTCTCATAGAAAATTAACTTTTCTCGTTATCAATTCTATATGTATAAATAGTGTGTCAAATAGTGCCTCTAACAGTAAAAGTATTTTATGTTAATTCGCAGTAAAACAATATAAAAAAAGCAATTAAATTATTTTTATATATGAAGTACAGTCATGTACAGAAGTGATAATATTTTCGTAGTATAGTAGGTAAGTAAGGTACTTAGTAGGTAGGTAGGTTGAAATTCTTATATGAATTTATGATTGGTGTATTCGGATTGAAATATAATATCTTTTTATAAAAAGTACCTATTTATTTTAGTAAAAATACATATATAGATAATCTCTTAGTGCATAAATTAATTTTGTGTGTAACTGTACTACAATACATTTGTTCCTAGAATTTAACACCCTCTTTATGTATTGTTGTGATGTGGATTCACATAAAATACTTTTACTGTTAGAGGCACTATTTATACATATAGAATTGATAACGAGAAAAGTTAATTTTCTATGAGAACTATTATGGGTACGCCAGGTTGACGCCAGCTAAGAATGTTTAGTTCAATATCTTTGGTCCTTTAAGAGTATTGATTATGAAATTTTGTAAAGCCAGGGCACTATTTGCGAACTATTTTTGGGTGTCAATTTCGTTGCTTAAATATATGCCGTTCTTGGGGTCGGCCATGGGTACGCTAGCTTGACGTCATGGTAGCGTACACAGTAAAAATGGTATTTATTTCCTAAATTAAAGAGGCACTGGTGTCGATTAGGGCGTGATTCTCTAAACTTAAAACTAAATTAAACATCAGTCTCTCCTTTTTATTCTGTATAGAGAATGACAAGGATACACTGTTGTCAAATTTAAGTTTAGGTTTAGAGAATCATGTCAGAATCGATACCACTATTTTTATTATTTTTACACTGATTTGGCACTATTTACGCACTATTTAATGGCATAACTAAAAACCGTATATTGATCGTGGGTACGCTAGCATCACGGACACGATTGTGAGTGGTGCTACCATAGACATAGTATCAAAATGTCTATAGGTGTTACAAACAAAACGAAAGTGAATGTATGACGTAAAAATATAGATGTAAAACAATCAATTTAAAACGTTTTAAACAAAATGTTGCCGTTTTAAACCCCAAATAAATCGTTTTAAACGGTTAAAAACTGGCATATAAGAATAAAAGAACTAGAGTCTGACAAGTGAGTCGTGGCACGAGAATTATTACGAATGGCAACACTGTTACCTGTCATAGGTAGAAAAAATATATGTGACGGGAGGTTTTTGGCGGGATTTCATCGAGTGCGGTTGGCGTCTTATTTTAATTATTCTTAAATTTGTTCATAGTGGATAGTGTGAAATAAAATTGGTGTGATTTTGTGTTACAACCATCTGCGCAACTGAAGAATTAGTGGAATCTTTAAAATATACGCTATTCCGGTCAAGTGGACGTGAGAATTTTATTGTAGTATTGACTACCTCACAGAAGCTTATCGAGAAAGCCAGCTCGATACATTTCGTGCCAAACACTTCAAGAAACATTAGAATGCGTCACACCGACATTCTAATGTAAAAAGAAAAACAGAATAATTTAACTTAAGACTAGGCTGTATGGGCATTGTTCCCCTTGCCTTCCCTGAAAAGGGAGAACTTACCAAAAAAAAAATATATATGTGACGGTTTTTGGCGGGATTTCATCGAGTGCGGTTGGCGTCTTATTTTAATTATTCTTAAATTCTTTCATAGTGGATATTGTGAAATAAAATTGGTGTGGTTTTGTGTAACAACTGTCTGCGTAACTGAAGAATTGGTGGAATCATTAAAATATACGCTATTGCGGTCAAGAAGACGTGAGAATTTTATTGTAGTGTTGACTACCTCACAGAAGCTTATCGAAAAAGCCAACTCGATACATTTCGTGCCAAACACTCCAAGAAACATTAGAATGCGTCACACCGACATTCTAATGTAAAAACAAAAAGAAGATTAATTTAATTAAAAACCAGGCTGTATGGGCATTGTTCCCTTTGCCTTCCCTAAAACGGGAGAACTTCAACAAAAAAAAAATATATGTCATGTCATTTTATATTTTCATAACCTCTACGTCTTGCTGTGGTGAGATATATTTTAGAGTATCTTGGCTGAAATTACTTCCACTATTTCTTCACCCTAAAAAGAAGATTTGAAGAAAATTTCAGCAATTTCGTATGTCTAGGAGATGAGATACAGCTTTTTAAACAAAAACTAAATATTCTCCTGGGAAAATATTTTTTTACTACTAAACTATTAGAGTTCTTGGCTGAAATTACTTCCACTATTTCTTCACCCTAAACAAAAGTTTTGAGGAAAATTTCAGCATGTTCGTATATCTACGACATGAGATACAGCTTTTTAAACAAAAAAAAATATTCTCCTCAGATTTTTTTTTTTTACAACTACACTATTAGAGTATCTCTGCTGAAATTACTTCCACTGTTTCTTCACCCAAAAAAGAAGTTTTGAGGAAAATTTCAGCAAGTTCTTATGTCTAGGAGATGAGATACAGCTATTTAAACAAAAAAAGATATATTCTCCTGAGAAAATATTTTTTTACAAATAAACTATTAGAGTATCTTGGCTGAAATTACTTCCACTATTTCTTCACCCTAAAAAGAAGTTTTGGGGAAATTTTCAGCAATTTCGTATGTCTAGGAGATGAGATACAGCTATTTAAAGAAAAAAAAATATTCTCCTGTGAAAATATTTTTTTACAACTAAACTATTAGAGTATCTTTGCTGAAATTCTTCCACTATTTCTTCACCCTAAACAAAAGTTTTGAGGAAAATTTCAGCATGTTCGTATGTCTAGGAGATGAGATACAGCTTTTTAAACAAAAAAAAATATTCTCCTGAGAAATTTTTTTTTTACAAATAAACTATTAGAGTATGTCGGCTGAAATTACTTCCACTATTTCTTCACCCTAAAAAGAAGTTTTGAGGAAAATTTCAGCATGTTCGTATGTCTAGGAGATGAGATACAGCTATTTCAACAAAAAAAGAAATATTCTCCTGAGAAAATATTTTTTTACAAATAAACTATTAGAGTATCTCGGCTGAAATTACTTCCACTGTTTCTTCACCTAAAAAGAAGTTTTGAGGAAAATTTCAGCAAGTTCGTATGTCTAGGAGATGAGATACAGCTATTTCAACAAAAAAAGAAATATTCTCCTGAGAAAATATTTTTTTACAAATAAACTATTAGAGTATCTTGGCTGAAATTACTTCCACTATTTCTTCACCCTATAAAGAAGTTTTGAGGAAAATTTCAGCATGTTCGTATGTCTAGGAGATAATATACAGCTTTTTAAACAAAAAAAAATATTCTCCTGAGAAAATATTTTTTAAAACTAAACTATATCTCATCTCCTAGAAAAGAAATAGTGGAAGTAATTTCAGCCAAGATACTCTAATAGTTTAGTAGTAAAAAAATATTTTCTCAGGAGAATATTTTTTTTGTTTAAAAGCTGTATCTCATCTCCTACACATACGAAATTGCTGAAATTTTCCCCAGAACTTCTTTTTAGGGTGAAGAAATAGTGGGTGTAATGCCAGCCAAGATACTCTAATAGTTTAGTTGAAAAAAAAAAAATTGTCTCAAGAGAATGTCGGCTGCTAGTTTCAGTTTCAACAATTTATTAAAATTATATTTTTAGGAGAGGAGATAAAGGTACCAAAACTTGTCACGTTAATTTTTAATATTATTTGTAATTTCGCAACGAAAAATTCTAATTTTTAAAAAATATAGGGCCCGGACCCTATCTTCTATGTTTCGTCCATGTCGGCTGCTAGCTGGTGGCTGCTAGTTTCAGTTTGATAATTTCTAAAGGTCATTTTTGTATACTAAGTTTCTGACTTAATCTGGTTTCTTTCTTTGAAAATATGTTTAGATGAATGTATGCATGCGTCAGAACCTTTAAAACTATTAACAAAATTGTTTGACTTATTGATGTTTAATTATTTATTAATTTTATTATGTTTACAGGTAAAAGATACATCATAGTTCATGCTGGATCTGAGAAGGGTTTTGTGCCAAATGGGTTACTAGTGTTCAGCACAAAATCTAAAATGGCAGACTATCATGATGAAATGAACCGTAACAACTTCATGAAATGGTTGGAAGAAAAACTGATACCTAATTTAACAGAACATTCTGTAATTGTTATGAATAATGCGAGTTACCATGTTACACAAATAAACAAGGCCCCAACGATGAGTAATGTAAAGGCTGATATTCAGAAGTGGCTCAGTAATAATGGCATTCCTTTTGAAGAAAGTTTCACAAAGGCTGAACTTTTGTGTATTGTTAAACAAAACAAACCTGCACCCTTGTATGAAGCTGAGGAACTTTTAAAAGAGCACGGATATGAGGTTTTGAAATTACCACCTTACCATTGCGATCTTAATGCAATTGAATTAATCTGGAGCTTGGTAAAAAGGAAAATAGCAGGTAAAAATTTAGGTGTGCCAGGTGCTCATACAGAAAATTTAATAAGAGAATGTTTTGCCACTGTGACAGCAGCTGATTGGAAGAAATGTACAGATCATGTAATTAATGTTGAAAAT